ATTTTATATGTATTATATTTATTATTATTATAAATCTTAAGCAATTGAATGTTTTATGAAGTTCTGAGTGTTTGCCTTTGTTGTGTCACATTTCGAGTTTGATATGTTTACATCTGATATATAGATCTATAAGTAAATTCCGAAGTGAATTTCATGTGAAACTATGAGAGTGATTTGAGTCAGTATTTCTTAGCTGTGTGCGGGCAAAAGGTCAGCACTTGATAAACCACAAACCCAATGTTTAATTTCTTCATTTGCATATTCCGATTTGTAAATACAATAAAAAACCAAGGGGCCCCATCATGTGAAATATATAATAATAGCTTCAGTGTAAAATGAGCTTAACCTTCATGGCTAAAATTTGAAAGAAGACACTTAGCCAAGGCCAATTCGCTTAGTCAGTCTTCAGTTCTAAATACCAAAGTTCGATTAGGAAATTCCAAACTTAAGATTACAGAAATATATATTTAATGTTAAGCTTTTACATTTTCTTAAAAATGTTTCTCAATCTATATTTCAGCAAAATTTTGAAAAATTTTGCTGTTTGATTTGGTAAGTTCGTAGGAATTTGACAGAAAACATTAAGTGAAATAGAAAATCGATAAAGCAACTAAAAATGGCCACAGAAGGCTGCAAAGCAACAGCAAACAGCAAATAGCAAACAGCTAACAGCTAACAGCTAACAGCAAACAGGTAACAGCAAACAGTTTATTAACTTATTTGGCCGTAAAGTAGGTTTATGGGTAGACAAAACAAACACGCCAAATGAGTGTAGATAAACTTTAACTACCCTAGACCCGAATGAGCCAAAACAAATGGAGTTTTTCAGCAGTTGCCACTCGCAGCTCGAGCCGGAGCTGAAGCCGCAGCTCAGGTCTCGAGCTGTTCGAGCATCCACAAACCGACAGAGTCGCTCGGCGTTTGGCTTTTGGGTTTTATGCGATTGCCTTTGTTTTCACTTAAATGTGCGTTAATTTATTTACCAAAGTCATTAAAAACATAACTTTTATGGCAGCTAGCGAATACCTCTCCGGCTCTGGCTCGGGCCTCACTCTGAATTAATTGCCCCCCAAATTATTGACACTTATTTCAAACAATAAAAATAAAGCAAGCTGTTGTTATGTCTGTCGATTGCGACGCTAAAAAAGTGATAAATTGTCATAAATAAATTTAATTGCCATAAAATATATTTCAATTATATAAAATGATTACTAAATAAATATACAA